ATTTCTTAGCACATATCGGTTAAACAATTTACCCTTGTGCCACTGAACTTGGCATCATTGCAAAAGATAAACAGAATGGATTTTGGGTTAATCATGAGTTGCTGGTTTAAGAAAATAAGGTTAATGAATTATACCGACTGTTCATGACTAATATCCATATAACATTGCAACATTTAAGCATGTGTCTCTGTGCAGATAAACTGCTCAAACTGCATTTATTAGAATGTAAAACACAACTTCGTAGCCACATTTATGATTTTACCAGAATTGTCCATAAGTTTGTAGGACGATTTTGTGTCAATTCGATAACGTATTGCTGGACCACAGAGAAAGTTCTATTAATCAACAATGGACGTATAACCGTTGATCACATAAGGGACGATTTCTGTCCTGTTTCATTGCACAGCAGGGTCAACCAATCACGACGAGTGAGAGGCCAAGTGAAGTACCGACTCGGAGAAACGAGCAGAGCTACACAACAACTCACACGTGTCCGAGAACGTTGGCGTACAACACCACCACTTGGCAAACACCAGTTTCAGCGCGCGCACTTGTTGCAGAGGAGGTGCTTTCAACGCAGCACGGTGCCGTTTAGGTGACGACGTCCACCTCGCCTGCCCGTCGCACGCAGCTCAGACCATGGCTGCCGTCGGCACGAAAGGCCCATCACCACTGCAGGGGTAAATGCTGTGGATCGGGCGGCACTTAGCGGTCTTCCACGGTGCTCTTCGGATACGGATCTAGGTTTCTAGTTTTTGCCAACCAACAAATGGATGCATTCCTAAAATTCCACCTTGTTCATTTACTAGTGGACTAAAATCAATTGTATAAACTATGAAAACAAAAATTCTTAACGCTAAATGAATGCTAATTTTATATGTGTGTGGATTGAATCAATAGCCATTTAGAAAATACTAAGCCATTCAATGTCATTCACAAATTTAAAAAATAAGGGTATAAGGAACTTGTTTCCAGGATAAACAACTATGAAACAAGGAATTGAAGCTGAAATTCTTAACATATACTTTCCACTACCATTACAAATATTTTACATTTTCATACTGTATTGGTTGGGATGACTCATGGGTATCACTGTAATACATAGAGATGTATGGTTTGCAAAATAAAAAGCTGATTTATAAAACTCCAGGCATTTTCTACACTAACTCTACATTAACATCAAAAGTAATGAAAGCCACAATGTCTAACTCCTGAAAAGCCTTACATTTTGCAAGCCGTTCTTATACTCAATGGCATCAGTGCTTCGAGTCAACTCTGATTAAATAACCAGCTGGCAGGGTGGCGTATCTGTGAGCTGCTGTGGCTGAGAAAGCTGGATGCCTTGGGCGAAATCTGTGGCCAGCTGGTCACCCAGCAGGGTCAAATGGCGCAGGGCATAAGGGCAAATGGTCCAAGAGGAACCCAAGGCCATGTGGATCCTCCATCGCGTATGCAACTAGTGTACTGTACGTGAATTATGCATGTCCCAGTATCAATACAACACAAACATTATGCAGGAATATAATGTACATGTACTAATAATGAATGATATTAAGCGTCTCAGCTGAAAACTTTGCCATTCTAATTCCCCAGTTATTTTTGTTATATAACCACTGAAAAAGGATGCCGATCTAAATAATTAAGTGCCTATGACCACAGAAATACCTCTTAGAGTGGACTAAGATAATCTGACAAAAGCAAGCATTCATCATGAGCAATTTATGTATTTATGAATTGGCAGCAGTTATGAAATGTAAAAATTGTTTGGGTACCCAATGACCTACTCTTGCAAGTATTCCCCATGGATGTTTTCATTTTATAATACACAGCAATTGGTAGAGACCAATTGGTAAAGTTTATAAAATGTAACTTTATGCAAATTTTCTACTCAGAAAAATGCAGCAATTTCGGTATCTTTCTAAGAAATGCCTCTCACTTGCTGGTTCCCAGTAATTAAAGTATGCTGTACACTGTGCTTTTAGAGACTGTTGTTGAATGAATCTCAACACCACTGCGAATTGCACGCACGTCTCACGATTCCACACCACGTGTAAACAGATGACTGACACAGGAAGGCGGAAGGCATATACGTTAGAGCAAAGTAGAATCCAATACATGGCTTTTGCTGTGGAAAACCTTGCCCCCACTGAGCACATTTTTTTTCATCACGAATTTGTAAAGACTAAAATAAATGCCTCAACTCTCCTCAATGTGGTTAGTCGAGTTAACTTTTTGTAAATGCAGTACAGAACACCCATATATTAGTCACACAATCGACCGTTAACCTGGCGAATATGCATTTACAGAGACTGCAATGATGGCTGAAACCCCTAGAGTAAATGTAATTATCCCTGCAGGATATTAGTGGGGGTTACCTTTAGCAAGAACACATAGTAATTGTCAGGTAAATTAGCCAACCTTGCATTGATTATACATGCCAATCATCAACCCCCACCCCTCCCTACTGGCATTCTAATAGCCGTTTGAAAGCCAGATGTTGAGTCACCTTGTGCAAAAGAACAACTGCCGCTGGGGGTGCTCCTTTGAAATGTTTAAATGAGAAGTGATGTATGGTGCCAAGATGCATCGAACCATTATTCTCACAATTTACAGTTCATTCCTTTCCATATATTTTCAGTTTTATCACAAATAGTAATTGTGTAGGAAAGTGGCCTCTTTTGTTACTAAAGCATTCCAGGTACGACTCTACCTTAGCAACCGAATAGTGTGGTCCTAAACAATATTTACTGTCTCGGCACCTTGAGGCAAGGTGGATCATTGCCCTGCAGACAACAGCTAATTACGAAGTTGAATCTGCATCCTCGCTAATTGGAGACTTTAGAGAACACCACTGCAGGAAATGCCTACCCGTCGTGAGTAATTTCAACCAATGTATGTTTCTGCCTCCATTCACAACGTGACTTACTCACGCTCACGAGTATTCACTCGGAAGGACGTCTCACCTGTAATACAATGGGAGTAGGACTACACTGTATAATGATATTTGCCACACTTCAGCAACACGTCATATAATGGCGTTCAAATTGTGTGCAAGCACCAGCAATAATGAAAAGTGCATTACTGGAGGTGATGGCAGTGTGAAAATTGGCTGTACACAACAACTCAGCTATGCAACGAAGTTTGGTGTGACAATGCATCTGTTACTAAAAAAAAAATCAAATCACGACTGCAGTTAAACAATACAATGTTTGAAGCATTACACCGCTTGAATTTAATAATACACTGTTTCAAGTTAATGCTTTCAACAACTCTTGAATTATTGAAAACTAAATCTGCAACAAGGGCAGTGACAGCCATGGAAAAGGGGGTCTCTGAATGAACTTCAGAGTATGCAGAATATCCCTTTTATACTGCATGAAATCTGTCTGTCAAAAATATTTTCAGCACCCCAACTTTACATTCTTATTACTAATATATACATTCCTTCATCTGTAAATAATACAATGTTAAAAGACCGAAGTTCATAAAAATAGGCACATAATAGCCTTTAAAATGACTAATGTGCCAGATGCCAAATCATTTCGCTGTGGCCTTTTAAATGTTATTATCTTGCAAAATATTAACTTGATGTTATAGCATCTCATAACATTTTCAGGAACCAAGTAGAAAACTTACTACAATATATTGGCAGCTGCAGGGAGGCTATGTCATTGTTCTTGATGTGAGCTGGAGGGGATCCCCCTAACCATATATAATGCAATATGATGTTGATGTAAATAAGGACACCCATCAAAGCTACTGCTTCAGCATACCACTGTCAAAAGGAAAAAGTACATAACAAAATCCTCATTCTCATGTAGCTAATTAATTTATGTCTTACACTAAAACGTGAAACGAATGATAAAACACAAGTCATTACAGCACAATTAATATTTTACGGCTTTGCTAGTTATTGTCGAGGTCAAATGTTGCTTTCATCAAATAGCAATACACCTCATGTGTTATGTTCTGACTGACCTAAAAGTCAAGCAAGAAATACTTTCCAAATGCGTTCCTAAGCAAGGCAAGTAGAATAACCTTATTCTTGGTTCTTTTGGTAAAGTCACGTTTAAGGGAAACAATAAAATATATATAAAATACAATTCAATTCTCACGACGTTTCGACTGCAACACAAGCAGTCATCATCAGGTGTGAAAACACAAGCAGTCACCTGATGATGACTGCTTGTGTTGCAGTCGAAATGTCGTGAGAATTTTATTGTTATATATATTTTATTGTTTCCCTTCAACGTGACTTTACCGAAAGAACCAAGAATATGAATCACTGCAGTCACGAAAGCTTTAAATCAAAATAGAATAACCTTTTAATGGCTATTTGCAAAGTTAGACACAACTTAATCAAAACATGTTTTAAAACCATAAGAGAGACGTGAACACCGATTAAATGACGAACCTATATTCAGTTGACAAGCACACCCCATGTTGAATCGGTTGGCAGGTGTCACAAAGACTTAAAAAAAATACTGGCTATGAAGTTTCAATTTTAGAAATGTCATGTCACTACCACACGTGCCCATAGCCTGCCACATGCCTACAGTCACTATACATGCTCATGGATGCACTGAAACACATGTCCAAAGCCAGTGGTGTTCAACATCAGACCTGATCATTTTACTTTAAAATATTCCTGATTGCAAAAACAGAATTATGTTACACCTGTGAACTTTACCACATGGTATAAATAACAATGCTTAAAACACGTTTTTAAGTATTGACCATCTTCATAGATCTCAATTTTAATGCACACAATAAAACATCATAGATTTTAAAATTATGATATAGAACATTAAGTTAAAAGCATTTCTACCATCACACTGCGATTAACTTTTGTACGCCAGCTAACATGAAAGCCACAAAATGTTGTGTCATGCAAATGTTTTTTATACGTTGGAGGCAAACTCAAAATATAACACGCACACAGGCTACAGAGCACAGTGCAGTAGATCACCACAATATTATTAACGCGGCTCTTTACTCACCTGTTTGTAATGCTATCTGTGGAAGCCAGTCCATAGATGTCAAACTGCTTTCAAGTTCTGACGCCATTTCTCCGCTTTAATGGAGAAAAAAAATCCTTTAAAAAAACGACAGCACGCAACACACGATGAGGATTAATGATATATATTTTTTAAAACTAGGAATAACTTAACACACAAAAACACACGTCACCAACACCGTCACTGCCGCTGTTCACATACGCGTGGGTGCAAAACCTGTGGGTGAATTTCAGGGAGCTCGGCGTGCAAAAGCTCACTTCTTATTCCGAACGCATGTGCGCGCGCCGCCTCTGCTGTACATTCCGCACAATGCGCGCACACACACACCATGTTGTCGGCACAATTAGCCAGGCGGCATGGCCAGCGAGATTCTCCCTGTCTCCGCCGCAACCGGAGCCGGCTTTCGACCGCCGACCACGCTGTCGACGCCGCGTGTTCTCAAACCACCACCACCACCACCCCCCTTCCTCCTCCTCCTCCACCGGAGGGGCAGCGGCAGGGGTGGGTGACAAGAGCTCTCGCCCAGAGCAATTAAGAGCGATATCCACCAACCAAAAGCATCGATTCTGAATTTCGGTATCGCAGTGACAACTCAGGTACTTCCAATCGTCACCATAATCATGGCTTCACAGATTGGCGCGCCACGCGATTTAAAGAAAAAAATCCCAAGTACATTGATTGACCTAACGGCGTGCGGCGCGCGTGCGTGTGTGTTGTGTATAGGGAGGGAAAACGGTATTTATAATGTTAAAGCACGGTACACACACACACACAGCCCCGTCCACCACGTCCTCGTTTACCGATCCTTTTTGTTTTCCCTCCTCACCTAAAATTTTCACCGCGCGTGGATATGCAAACGCACCGACGGATTCCGCGCGTGACGTCGGGACGCCCTTTAAGCGGCGCAAGCAAGCGGCCCGGGCTCGCCTCTCTCATTAAATCTTAACAAGAGAATATGATTAAATGTTAACAAGAGAACATGAACGCGCCTGCCGTCAGCAACAGCGGCGGCGTGCAACGCAACGCGCCGCGTGAACACGCGTGCCGCCCCATGTGCGCGTGCGACGCCGTCCCCCGCACATTCCTGCAAAACACGGAATCAAAATAAAACGGCAAGAACAACCACTACCACCACGACGACGACGATGACAGCAGCGACAGTGACAGCAGCAGTGACAGCCCCGATCTCCCAGCGCGGCACACGCCCAGCCGAGGCGACGCTTCTTACCGCCAACCATCGCAATGTCACCACACATCGAGAAACGCCCGAGAGAGAGAGAATGACGATTCGAGTTCGGCACGAGCGCCGCCGCCGGTGGTGTTGGGTGTGAAGAGAGCGATTTAACCCACGGCCCCGCACCCACCGCTTCCCGAGACAAGAGCCTCCCGTCTCGCCTGAGCTCGCATGGGCAGCGAGAGGGCAGCGAGAGAGGGGGGGAGGGAGGGGGGGCGCCTTTGCCCGTGGGCCCAGCGACGCGGCGCGGCGCGGCCTACCTCGGGGCACTTTGTCCCGCCTCGCGCGGCGCACTCGCACGGCCGAACCGAGACGGGGTAGGCGTCCGGCGAAGGCGGCAGCGGGGAGGCAGCGCGGAGCTCGGCTCGGTGGAGGAGGCCGCGGGGAAGCTCGGCGGGGGAGCGCGGAGAGGCGGAGAGGCGGAGCGCGGCGGCGGCGGCCTAGGCGAGGCGACTCGCCGCCATGTTGATTCCTCGCGCCTCCTCACCGCCGTCGCGTCTCCCTCCGCCAGCGCTCTCTCTCTCACTCACACCCACTCACTCACTCGACATTCTTTTTTTACTTTATTCCCTTTCAAATTGTTGGGGGAGGTATTTTCTTTCTCTCTCTTCTTCAATCTGCGTGCCGCACACGCGGCCTCGTTGACGTCTTGGGTTTGCGATGATTGTGTCCGTGTTTTGTTACCTTGGCGGGGGCTTAGCCGAGTGTATTGCATAATGTGATGTGGGCAGGGGGATGCCGGTACTACTTTAGTGCGAATCCTTGCGCGGTGTGAGGCTCTCTCCGCCCCGCGCACAGCCAACAGCAGCAGCAAGCAAGCAACAGCTCCTCATCATTAATCTCCTCAGCATCATCATTAGCGCATCATCATTATCATCATCATCAAGCTCCTCCGCATCATCAGCACTGCCAATATAATTCTGATGATCACCTCCACCATTAGCATCATCATCAAATACATCAGCAGTAACAGCATCACCTCCACACCACCGACAATCATAATCACCACTTGCAGCACCCTCATTATAATCAGCAGCAGCAGCAGTACCAACAGCTGCAGTGAAATCGTTACAAGGAGCACCCATCATCACGATCGTCATCAGCAGCACGATATTCATTAGCAACATAACCTCCTCCTCCACCACAATCAACACCGCCACCATCATAATAATCACTCGCAGGAGCATCGTCATTAGTAGCAGCAGCAGCACCCTGCGCATAACCTCCATCATCATCATACCACCATTATAATACTACCGTCGTAATTATCAATACCATGGTCACCAGCAGTGTCATCACCATAATTGACCACAATCATCAAGCAACATCGCCGCCACGTCAAATAAATATGCGGCGTTCGCAAGACAATTGTCCTCCCCCCTCCTCTCAAGTAACCGGCACTCGCCCCCCGCCCCTTCTGCGTGTCTGAAGCGGCCAGCGGTGCCAATTAACAAATTACAGCGGCCATAGGAAGACACGAGGCATGAAATCCCACGCGTTCCATCACCACTGCCACCACTGCCACCACCACCACTGCCGCCACCACCACCGCCACTGCCACCACCATCACCGCCACCACCATCACCACTGCCACCACCGCCACCACCGCCGAACGATAAATTCCACCACCCCACCCCCGAGCCTCATAACCCAGCTCGCGACAGCAAATTATACGGAAGGTAATGTCACTTAAAGATGACAACGTAGATGGCACTTGCAGGATATATTTACATAGTTTATCATGAATAAGGATTTTACTTAAAGCATTCGTGACGGCAGGAATTGACACCCTTTGTTTTTATTTTTCCGGTAAAGTCACGTAGATGAAAGAAAAATACGTTAAAAAAATCACGACGTTTCCATCGTAACGCAAGCAATCGTCTTCAGGTGACAAAAATACAGCAGGCGGACTGCTGAGGCAGGAAGAAATATAGCGAGAGAGCTGCTGCAGGCCAGAGGTTATATAGGTTTGATGATGGGTACAACCCAAGGGTAAGTGGGCAGGGCTGGAGATGGAATTTGCAAGTAAATGTAAGATCGCATAGCCAGATATACCTCGGCCACTGTATTGCTGGAGGTTAGCATGTTAATCTGTTAATGTAACCCCACGAATACGGTGCTGGAGAAGCCTTTGTATTGCTCGAGATTCAAGATTAGCGTGTCAATGTGAAACGGCTCCCGCAGCAGTGGCTGTGTTAATGAGAGACATTCAGCCTATTAAACAACGAGCGTCACCGCCGCATCGAGGAAAACGGAGCAGCAGCTTTGTTAGTGAGACATTTAGCCTGTTAATGTAAAGACATTTAACAAGGTAATGTAATATTCTTGGTTCTTTCGAAAGAAAGAACCAAGAATATGAATCCCTGCAGTCACGAAAGCTTTAAATAAAAAAAGGTATATTCTTAGTTTTTTCCGTAAAGTCACGTTGAAGAGAAACAACAAAATATCATCAGGTGATGACCGTTTGAGTTATGGTCGAAACGTCGTGAGAATTTTTTATTGTTTTATATATATTTTGTTATTTTGTTGTTTCTCTTCAACGTGACTTTACCGAAAAAACTAAGAATATGAATTACTGCAGTCACGAAAGCTTTAAATCAAAATTTAAAAAAAGGTAATTAACTCAGTCGGAAATAAAAGCTAACATTGGCAGGTAGGATGGAAGCATCAGAGCAAGTTATGACTTTACCTGGTTAATAACGTCCTTCCAATGATTGCTCAGTTTGTACCCATCTTCTCGGTTGAATTTGTATCCGTGTTTATATATCTGGATGGCTTCATGAGCAAATCTTTGTTGATAGCCAGTGAGTTTGCATAGTACCTTCGTCTTGGAGAAATAAATTTAGTGTGTGCCCACAGCGTTAAAACAATGATTAGCCACGGCAGAGGTATTGGTCCTACCGTGTTTCAGATCCGCCTTGTGTTCGCGAACATGGTCCGAGACATGTTGCTTAGATTCCCCAATGTAGCCACAGGTACAACTCATTTTGTAGATGCCGGGGTATTGCATGTCAGGGATCACATCCTTCACAGACGGGATCAGATCACGAATTGGTGACCCCTGCTGTGTATGGCAAGGTTATGGTTTTGATTGGGTCCTCAGGTGGTTCTCTCCCAACGGTTGGGGTGACAGCTTTACGGATTGTGCAATCCAAATATCCATTCATCTTGAGGGCTTGGTGTACATGTTCCAGTTCACTGGCTAGGTGATGACAGTCAGAAATACATTTAGCTCTATGGTGTAGTTTTGATGAGGGAATTTTTCTGGGATGGATGGTGGTGGGAGTCAGGTTTTTTTTAGGTAGGCATCCGTATGGGTGGCTTTCCTGTAGACGGTGTCCCATTGAGCCATCTGGTCTCTTTTCCATTAAAACATCCAAGAATGGTAACTTGCCATCCCTTTCCACCTCCATGGTGAATTTGATGGCTGGGTGTATGGAATTGATGTGGTGGTTGAAGAATTGGTTCAGAGCTGGCAGGCCATGTGGCCAGATGACGAACATGTCATCTACGTAGCTCTTCCACTTGAAAGAACGTAGGATGGTTGCCTGGATGGCATCTCAATTTTTTTCCATGAAAACATTGGCTACCACTGGAGATGAGGGAGAACCCATAGGGGTACCTTCCACTTGTTTGTAGAATGTTCCATTCCAGGTGAAATAAGTGTTGGTGAGGCAGTGTCTCACCAGGGCAGGTACATCAGCATTCAGTCTTTGTTGGACCAAATCGTCAATTATTGCAATTGTGTCAGGCACAGGAACTTTGGTAAACAAAGATACATCGTAACTAACGAGCAAATCACCTGGAGATAGATGTCTTTAATTAGAGATACCAAGTGAGCTGAATTAATTAGCTGAGATGGTCTTGCCAGTGAATGGCAACAAGGTCTGACAGAAATCGGGCCAGTTTGTAGGTGGGTGAGTCAATAGGACAGAGTGGTGTTCCTTCTATTGTTTGTTGGTAAGCCATACAATCTGGGTGGTCTTGCAGCAGATGGTTTGAGATAACCGCTTGGTTGGTTCGATTAAAGATGTCGAATCAGTGAAGATTGTTGGTTTTCGTAACAAGGTGGTTGGTAAGATCTCTTGATTTTAGTATAGCTGCCATCATTAAGTAGGTCCTGAATTGTGTTACTATATGTGGTTTTATCCATGATGACAGTGGCATTGCTCTTGTCAGCTGAGAGGATGACTATGTCATCTCTCTTTTTCAGTTGAGAAAGCTCAAAGCGCTCATCCTTGCTGATGTTGCTAATGGGTTTCTTAGCGTGTTTAGGATTCCAGTGATTTCCGATCTCGCCACGTCTGCAGGAATGTGTCCCAAACCTTTAAAGGCTACGTCGACCTGGGTAATGATATCAACTGGGACATGTTTAGGGGTGACTGTGAAATTAAAATCTTGAGCTAGTACCGATTTTAGGCTGTCAGAAATTGGGCTGTTACTCCAATTGATAACAATCTTATCAACGTCTAACTTTTTAATGTGTGGCTCTGGCTTCTTCTTAGACAGGAGGCTGAATTTGGAAATCAGTTTCTCTTTGCATTTAGCCGACATCAAGGCGGCTAAAGAGGCTGTCATGTTATCTACAGTGAGGGAAAAAAGTATTTGATCCCCTGCTGATTTTGTACGTTTGCCCACTGACAAGGAAATGATCAGTCTATAATTTTAATGGTAGGTTTATTTGAACAGTGAGAGACAGAATAACAATAAAATCCAGAAAAACGCATGTCAAAAATGTTATAAATTGATTTGCATTTAATGAGGAAAATAAGTATTTGACCCCCTCTCAATCAGAAAGATTTCTGGCTCCCAGGTGTCTTTTATACAGGTAACGAGCTGAGATTAGGAGCACACTCTTAAAGGGAGTGCTCCTAATCTCAGCTTGTTACCTGTATAAAAGACACCTGTCCACAGAAGCAATCAATTAATTTTCAAAACTCTCCACCATGGCCAAGACCAAAGAGCTCTCCAAGGATGTCTGGGACAAGATTGTAGACCTACACAAGGCTGGAATGGGCTACAAGACCATTGCCAAACAGCTTGGTGAGAAGTTGGTGCGATTATTCGCAAATGGAAGAAACACAAAAGAACTGTCAATCTCCCTCGGCCTGGGGCTCCATGCAA